AATTCACTGATTAAAATTAGTCCAATATGATAATAGTATGGAAAATTATGGAAATTTGTTAATCACATGAGTCGTGTTTACGTTTAAAGCAAAGTCTGATATAGTCTGTAGCTATAAAAGCTGTATTAAAAGTTAACAGTTTATCTGGTACTTTTTGACTATCAGTAGATTTACGGTTACAATTGGCAAATCTACCTGTTGAACTCCATTTTTGAGTGCTGGTATTGAAACAAATGACATCCTTTGTAGACTTGTCAACAAAAATCACTCTATCATCATAAGCTTGGTTAGAAGTTAGAAGTAAATTACTGAATTTCAAATCTATCATTTCTTTGAATCTTTGAAGTTCGATTATTTTTCCTTTACCGTCATTTATGTTGAATTGGATGAATTCAGAATTTATACCTTTCAAAATGTACATGTAGATATTATTGTCCAAAACAGTTGCGAGATAATTTCTTTGGCTTGGAAGAAATTGATCTGAAATCAGTTTGATATTTGCTGTTGTCCAGCATTGATAATTATTATTAAAATGAAAATTATTATCATTAACAGCATTTCCAATAAAAATGAACTTCCCATAAACTTCCAAAAGTGAAGATCCAGACATTGAGTTGGCTCCAATTATATTAGATTTTTCTGCCCTAAAATGTAAAATAAAAATAGTTTTAATAAATCAATTTTGATATAAGACTTGAATAGAGACTAAAGAATTTGTCAAATGGTAGATATCAGCTAAATAAAAATGACTCGATAGTAACTAAAAAGTGCTCAAATTATTTTTAAAAGTAAAAGCTTTATAACTTTTAATTCAATTTTTGGTGCTCCTAATGCTTGTTAATAAACTCAAGTTAATCAAATTTTTCAAAATTATATCTTTATGCAGTGACAAGACGCAAAACATAACAAAATGGTCAGCTATTTTGTCAAGTATTTCAATCGTTTTAACTGATTTTTTAGGTACGGCTTCTTTCAGATCAGAAATCGATTTTTTGTCATGTGGTTAATAGTTCAGAGAACCACTTAAAAAGAAATTGAAGTCGATTAAATCGATTCGATATGGTATTATCACTAATTTGTGAATTATATGGCCAAAATCTACAAGGTAAAACTTTGCCCTTTATAGTTAAAATCATTGATTTTATAGCGACCTTTATCCAAATTCAAAGTTTGAAAGCTCATTTGAGCACTGTCTATATGATTGGATAAGATGAGTAGATTTTAATAAGTAGTATTGAAAAGAATTATTTACCCATTTTGCTCGCCATGAATGCATTTTTGAATTTTAATAAAATGATTTTTGCATACTGCAAAATCAAGTAAGCGATAGTCATTGCGCTTCCAATCAACTCGAATTCCTTGTCCCCCAGAATCAAAAAAAATATCAGAGACATGTGCATCATGAAGTAGGTTTAAATTCATTTGTTTATTCAATTTGATGACTCTATTAATAACTGGAATGAAATTATTGTCGAGCACTATGATTTGCAAGTTTGTAGCATTCAATTCATAAATTTCAATGAAATAATTCTGTTTGGTTCGATTGGAAGTAAAAAAACTGCCACTTTTGATCAGAGAAGGTAACTGTGATTCAAAGTTTGATGATTTAAACAATACATTTTTCTTTATTCTAGATAAATCTTCATCCTGCAAGTGACACCATCTGACCAACTTTAACAATATGCCAAGATCGACCTTTCTAAAATTGACATTGAAATTGATCCATCTCATGATTGCATCGTAAACTTGATACTCTGAATAAATCATCAGGTCAAGCTTGCAAATGTATACAATTGTTTCAATTGGGTAATCCAACCAAACAGTTGTATTTGCTATCTTCATGAAGTAACGACGAATGAAAATATTCCAGAGGAATCAGAGTTTATTAATTAGATGTTGAAGACACTTGTGGTATGACACAGGAGATGTTCATGAAAAGTAATCATGGAAATATCGATACAACTTGCATGAGATATCTTCCAAACTGAAATAATCAGCAATACTGCATAGGTTTATTACGGAATCCATCTCAATGATTAAATGGTTGAATTTCAACCAAATTAAGAACGATTTGAATGCTTTTTCATCCAAGTCAAGTACAACTTTGTTTTCCTTTGTTTCTTTTAAATCATGATTCAACATCTTTTCAAAATAAGGTATTTTACGTATTAGTTGTTTACTAATTTGATGCTCCTTTGACCGATTAACAATCGTTAGTTCATCATCCGTTCCCGTCACATTCATTGTAGTTAACCAGATTTAATTGAGAAACAAAAATCTATTTTAAAACACTACACAGCCAAGAGAAGCAGATTTTACCGTATTTCACGAATTAGTTCACGAAGTTCGCTTGATGGTTTTCCTTTTTGTCTGATAAGGTGCACTTTAATTCAAAAAACAAATTTTTTGAAGTTGGGGAAAACAAACAGAAACACACAGAGAATCAGTAAGGCATTTGGTTTGGTCTAAAGCTAACTAACAAGTAACATACATGTACAATACTGAAGCCACCTATGTAGCTTCAATTGGTAATTTGATTTTGAAATCGGCTATTTGAGCCGGGTTATACTGGTTTCACCAATCATTAAAATAACTTCCTGCTTATAAGGTGTAATTAGAGTCTTCCAGTAATTAATTAGCTATACAATATACTGAATTTTAATTTTTTAGTTTTCCCATCGAAGATGTACCGAAATCAGAGTTAGTAAATGTGGATGGAATTTATTTTACTCTCAATGTCAGTGGAAAGAAACTACGATCATTAACTATTAACAAGAGTAAAACTGTTTACATCTTAATAATGGTTGATCAATTGATTTAATTACCATTTGTTTGAAAATCAGTATGAGAATCAAAAACACTAACAAATGATTGTAAGTGATCATTTGAGGCAATCTGCAAAGTTTTATCTGTTCGATGATCAACTATTTACCAGACTCTAATTTGCTACTGTTGGACTTTGTCCAAAAAAATTATCTGGGATAATGGGACTGTTAACTGAGCCTTTTGATTCAACCCAATGCTTCTTGTGAATTGAATTTGCTGAATTTGCACTACTTTATTAAAAGACCATGTAAACCTTATTACATTACATCATGATTATGATTGAAAACTAAAGTTAAAGGGCAAGTCTCAACTGACTGTAGTTTTTTATATTAAAAGTTTGGCAATTTTATTGAATTTATGGCTCAACTAACGATAAACTAACTCACCCTTAGCTACATACGAAATTGATGACCAACTGATGATCATGAATCATTGATGGAATATCGTATTACTAAAAAACTAATTCGTAGAATACCTTATTTTGAAAAGATGTTGAGCCATGATTTATCGGAAGTAAAGGAAAACAAAGCTGTACTGGACTTGGATGAAAAGGATATCAATTGGCTTCTCAACTGGTTTGAACACGACTGTATTTCCATCGAGATGGATTACAGTGATGTGCCAGATAATGGGAATAGGTGGAAATAGCTTATTTGCACTATTCGTCGGGCACTCGAATCTATGATTATCAATCTTGCTTAATAGATTGATTTCGTCTAAAATTATCATTGCTATCTGCTTTCTCGAGTTTTTTGATTGATATTTCACGAAAGAAAATCAAATTAAGTTAATTAATAACTGGAAAAATCTAAATAAAATTTGGTCAAATCCAAATCAAATTCAACTCTTTTTCAATAGGGACCGTTGAAAAAAATTATTCCCATTATCTGGCATTCCCATTATCTGGCACATCACTGTATGTAATAAATCTGTCCATCACCGCTGACTATTTTGAGCAGCTGATTGTGCAACTCATTTTAATGACTATTTATCAAAAGAACATCTTCCCGTTATTGTACCTCAAGTGACTTCAACATCTAAGTTGATCAATTCTGATGTTCTCAATGCTTTATCTGTCGTTATTTCGTGGAAATACACAACTATTTGGTTAAATTATCCACTGAAAATCTATTATATTTGTCAGATGAACCTGATGATCTATTCAGAGATACAGGGTTTCGACGCATCATGAGACGAGCCAATTTCAATTCTGATTCAAAAAAATCTATCTTGAAAGATTGTTAAAACTGGTCAAATGGTGTCATAGAGACCTGCCAGTAATTTAGACTAGGTTGAAATATCTTATTCACACAATTCGTCGATCAGCACAATTCATGATATTCAATTTGCCTTAATCAGTTGAATTTAACCTAAAATGTTGCTTCAAGCTGATTCCGCGAGTTTTGGATTGATATTTTACAAAAGAAAGTAAAATTAAGTTAATTAATAGCTAAAAACATCGAATTTCAATTTGTGTTAAATCACGATCAAATTTCATCCTTATTCACAATAGGGACCATTGAAAATTTAGTCTAAATTACTGACACGTCTCTGTATTTGGAAAATGGAGATCCATTAAAATAAAAGAAATTTCCCAAATCTTCAGACTCCAACTTACTTGTTTGTAAGCTGATCACCTGACAAATGTAATTGTGATTGTGTCTTTAATCGAACCACGCGAAATTGTTTGAAAATCGTAATATGTTACAGATTGGATGAAAAACACAATTTTTATAATCACAGCATTTGACGATAATTTTCGACCTTCAGTCAAACAATACCTCAAAAAGATGAATCAATACCGTTTCTGTTTTCTATGGAGAACATATCCTTTCATTTCAAAGGCAGTTGATCCGAATTGTTTGAAGACAAAAGAAATATCGTTTGTGCGATAATCCAGATTATTTACAATTACATGTGTACATTGTATCTTATTTTGACGCATTAATCTCGCCATCTATTAATGTATTTAGAAATTTATTGTTATCCTTACTTTCTTTTCAAATTTCCCTCTAAACGAAACCAACAAGTTACCGGTTACTAGTAAACAACTGGTCTCTACTGGCTGCTGCATCTAATGTTTGCTTTGTTAGTAATCAGCAAAAATCATTTATTCAACTGTTGATTGTTAAATAATTTATATTTTCTTTATTCTAACAATTTGTAAGAAAATTTACATTTTGATTCGATTCAATTTTGTGTCCAACAATGGCTTTATTAGAGACTGATGACCAACTTACAATAGTTAACCGATCATTGGAATATCGAATTAACAAAAAACTAATTCGTAAAGTGCCTTATTTTGAAAAGATGCTGAACCTTGGTTTAAAGGAATCAAAGGAAAACAAAGTCGAATTGGATTTCGATGAAAAGGCTTTTAAGAGGTTTCTCAATTGGATTCAAATCGGATGCATCTTCATCGAGATGGATTTTGTAGTAAATTTGTGTAACATGGCTGATTATTTCGGTTTAAGTGATTGTTTGATAGACGATTGCTTCACATATTTGCATCATAATTTTTCAATTAAACATCTTCCAGTTATTATACCTCAAGTGACTTCAACATCTAAGTTGATCAATTCTGGTACTCTTAATGCTTTCATTTGCCGTTATTTCACAAAAATTGTGAACACACCTGTTTGGTTAAATTATCCTGTTGAAACAATTAAATATATTTGTGCTTTGGATTTGATGATTCACTCAGAATATCAAGTTTTCGACGTGATCATGAGATGGGCGACTTTCAAGGCTGATTCTAGAAAGAGTTATCTTAAGGAACTGTTAAAGTTGGTTCGTTACTGCCATTTGGAAGAGAAGGATTTATCGAAAATACAAGAAAATGAATTTTTCAGATCTTCCTGTCTTGAACCAGAATTATGCTCTCGTAAAAAAGCTAATTGTAATTGTAATATCGACAGAACTAAGCAAGGTTGTTTTGTCGTTATTGAAGAATTGAGTGACAAAAATTTGCGATTGAAAGTATTTGACAGTGACTTCAGCTCATTGGTTAATCAAGTAATGCAACCAGATGAATCTATGCCTTTGTTTATTCTTCATAATGAACATATTTCAGATATTTCATTTGATTCTGGAAGGAAAATGATACGAATTGATTGGAAGCAGAATACATATCGTTTGTTTGATTTTTCAGCTTATAAATCGTATCATCGCATAATTCATCGATGCATTCATGATGCGCAGCAAGCAAGGTGAGTAATCCATTATTCAATTATTATCCGATTGCTTAAATTTTTTTGAAGCGTACTTAAGTTTGAAAATTGAAAACTTTTATTACCTACATTGATGCATATTATTTCTAATAAGGTTTACCCGTCTGAAGCTCACGAGAAGCTTCTTCTACTTTATAATGATGAATACTTTAGCAATAGTTTTTAAAATCATTTTTTTACATTTCAGTGGGGAATGTCATGTGCGGATTGATAAATGTGAAATGTCAGAATATGAATATTCATTTCTGGAAGTCAACGAGAAGTTCATTCTTGTTGGTAACGAGTCGGCATATTTCAACTGTTGGAAGAATCCATCTACTGGCGATATTAATAAATTATCTGATGATAATAGACATACTTACCTGACAACTATTTTGGATAACAGGATTTATATGCTGACACACAATTTTGAATTTTTCCAGTTCAATATTGATAGTGATCTCGAGTTTAAAAAGATTAAACTTGAAAGCTTTAAAGAAAATTTGCAATTTGATAATTTACTTTTAACATCCAAGCAAGTTAATGATGATAGAGTTCTTTTGATTGATAAGACCACAAAAGATGTTCTCTGTTTCAATGTAAACACTCAAGAATGGAGTTCAATCGGGCGAATTATTGATTGTAAAGGTAAACCGACGGATGGTCAAAAGGAATCTAATGTTCTTAAAACTTTTACTTTTGGGTTTGTATCAACGGATTCGATCAACCTTTGCTTGGAACGTAATCTCAACGCTGTAAAATGACGTTAATTTGACATAAACGAGTACACTGTATTGATATTCTTGTTTGATTCTTAGCTTCATGTAATCTGATTCAAACGTTTCTAACGTTATATCTCTTCTCGTTATTATTCATTCGATATATTCGAATTGAATTGACCATGAATATGAGCCGTAATTTTTACTTTATTTCATTAAAGGACTTTGTTAACGACGAATACAGCTTCATTATTCGACGTTAGCTGTTTCATAAAAAAGCAGTTTGATAAATTCAACAACCCCACAGATTTACCATTTTATTAAAAGCTTATTACCTTCATTATAGTCACTTGACGTCCATTTAACTGAAGACTAAAAAAACAACAATGCAGTACTTAGATTAGTTTAAAATTAAAATTGAATTTGGATGATGAATGATGGAAAGGAGGATTCAATTTAACCATAGTCTTGTCCATTGCAATTTTTAATTGATAAGATTAATTAACCTGTTCACCTCAACCCCAAACCTATTATCAGTCAGCTTTCTCAAGACACTCAAGCACCGACGTACCTGATCTCTTCTTAAAGACTCCCGACTCATTATCATTTTGAGTCTTCATTTTTAACTCTACTCTCAATAGTATTTGTTGTAAAACTGTTAAATATTTATGCATAAAGTAACATTTGCAAGCACGATTATCAAGCAAATTGGTGACAATTAGTTTTTAATTTTGTGGCGATAAATTTTATTGTTATTGTTGTTGGTAAAGTTATCTCCATCACTATCATCGTCAACATCTTCACCATCCACTGTTGAAGTATTGTCCTCTTTATCCTTTATCACATCATCCTTCGAACAGCAAACCAAACTATCGAGTTGTAGTTTCAACGGATAAAACAATTCCATCACCACAAATCGATTCAAGTCATTCAGAACTCTATTGCAAATCGATACAATATTGCATAAACTAATCCCAACGTTTGCTTTCCTAGTTAAATGGTTAACACTTGTGGTCCATCTTTTGCAGCTTGTTGATGAAATGATTCAACAAATACGTATAGTTAAAAAGCTAGTCGTAAGTATTAATTAAAATCAAATTACAAGATTCTTCTGGGATAAACTTATTCTCACTGTAAGGTTAATCCTTCATCAATAGCAATCCATCTCTTCGTTTACATTACTTGCTTAAAATGATCAATCGCATTTGTATTTTTTAAAGCCAATCAGTAATGGAAATCAAATTACAAGATTCTTCTAGGATAAGCTTCTCACAAATTAGTTGGGTCAATTTAATCCTAACAACTACATGTAATATAACTGCATTAGATAAACTAATGAAAGTTTTCCGAGGTTGAAAGCCAATTATCAACTTTTAACGATCTCAACCATTTTTAATTCGGGAAACAATTATCTTTGAGAGATATCATTTAACAAATTATTTTGTTACACAGTTCAGAGAATCAAGCTGCTATGAGTTTTCATTATCACATGAGAAAATTTAAAGTTTAAATTCAATTAAAGGTTGAAGGGGGAGGATGACAGAAAGAAATGGAAATATCTTTTAATGGCTATAAAATAGTTCTGTATGGTTCGATCAATACTGCAACTACAAGCAGATTTGTCGCCACATAATTTTGGTTCAAGGTTTGAAGATTAAACGTATTTATTGTCCTTTATTTGTCCAAATCTTTATCTTTCATCGAATAGACTTTAAAAATTCTTTAAGATATAACTTTCTAGAATCAGACAATGATTTGACCAATTTCATGATTGCATCGGAAACTTGCACTTCTGAATAAATCATGAGATCCATATATTCAATGGTCTCAATAAGATAATCCAACCAAACGCTTATATTCATTATTTTTGCAAATAGCGGCAAATGAAAGTACCAGAGTTGATCAACTTAGAAGTCACTTGAGATATATTAGCAGGTAGAAACTAGTGATGACCGAATGTATCGATATTTCTTGGTTTTACTGAACATCGATATTGATTATATCGTTTTTTCTAATCTTCTACACGTTATTATAAATATAATACGAATTTTGTGATTGCAATCGAATAATTCCTAACTTGAGTGAATTTCAGTGGTTTAGATAACTAGTCAAAAAATTAAACTTAGAGGTGGACAATCATATTGGCTGAAAAATTCGTATTCAGCTAATTAAACAAATAATATCCAGCATATTAGATATTGAACTGTTTGTTTTTCCTGTTACCGTGTTTCTTTGTTAGTTTTTGTTTCCTAATCGATATTTTAATACAATTTTCGATTATAATCGATTACCTAATTGTAAAATAATCGCCCACCTCTAATTAAGCTGACGTAAAAGCTTTCACTGATTGGCTCAAATGACTAGCTCAGGTTTCATCAAAATCTGAGTTTGCATTGAGTGAGTCAGTTTTGTTAGTGTACCATTTGCGAGCCTCGTCTTGTCTCTAAATTTCTTAACGCTTTCAATCGCTCTAATTTGATGCTTCACTAAATGCATGTCAAATTAAAAAAAACCATTTATCAAACTAATTCTTTAGGTTAAATCTGACTAATTGATACGTGTTATTTACACATTTCATTTTTTGAATAAATTGTTCCACTTTGGATTTATTAGAGACTGATGACCAACTTACAATAGTTAATCGATCCACAGAACACCACATCAGTAAAAATTTAATTCGTAGAATACCTTATTTTGAAAAGATGTTAAGCCATGAATGTTTGGAATCAAAGGAAAACAAAGTCGAACTGGATTTCGATGAAAAGGCTTTTAAGTGGCTTCTCAATTGGATTGAATTCGTGATATCCTCATCGAGATGGATTATATATAAATCTGTGCAACGTGCTGACTATTCGGGATAAAGATCATTTAATGCAGATCGTTCTCGTTATTTTTTTGCAATTTT